GTGTGGGTGTGGGTGTAGTGTGTGTGTGTGTGTGTGTGTGTGTGTGTGTGTGTGTGTGTGTGTGTGTGGACTAACAAACGGTCACAACACATCATCAAGGCTCAGGATCATTAGGAGTGAAAAAAATAAATTCTAGGTGATTACCCCTCCATTAGGGTGAGGCCCCCAGGGTGATCAGGCCCCCAGCCAGGGGTGATCAGGCCCCCAGGGTGTTCAGGCCCCCAGGGTGTTCAGGCCCCCAGGGTGTTCAGGCCCCCAGGGTGTTGCGTCACACTGTACACCGCTCTACCACAACAAATTATTTTACTTTATTTATTTTTGTGGTCGGGCTTCCCTCAACATACCTGTACACGTTAATTAGTTAAATGATGTACTAAAGAAAGGTAATATAATAAGTAATCTTTCTTCGGTACATTATTTTACTTCGTAGTTTGTTGAGGTAAATAGATCAATTGGTCGTATAGGGGTGATTGTTGTACACACAGGTGAACTCTGACACCTGGATGATCTAAGCTTGTACAGTCGCCAGCATAGAGTGCATCACGTGAAGATTAAGCACCCTATAGCTAACCTAACCTAACCTAACTTAATCTAACCGAATCGAATCGAATCGAATCTGATCTAGCCTAACCTAACCCCCTCCCAGGTACCATTTCAGTGATTTGTCATTAGGTAAAATACAGTGGGAAGCCTAATCTTCACGTGAGTAGCCTTGGGGAGAGAGGTGAGGAGGCGAGGGGAGCCTTGGGGAGAGGTGAGGTGGGAGAGAAGCCTTGGGGAGAGGTGAGGTGGGAGAGAAGCCTTGGGGAGAGAGGTGAGGTGGGAGAGAAGCCTTGGGGAGAGAGGTGAGGTGGGAGAGAAGCCTAAGGGAGAGAGGTGAGGTGGGAGAGAAGCATTGGGGAGAGAGGTGAGGTGGGAGAGAAGCCTAAGGGAGAGAGGTGAGGTTTTCCCACTTTCCCAAATTGAGCGAAAAGTCACTTCAAAGGCTGGCACACTGGGACCACCTCTCACTCGTCACATCCATTCCCTCTCCATTCCCTCTCACTCTGGTTCCCCTCCTATTCCTCTTTTCTTGGGTCTCTTAATCCTACACTTTATCACTCAGTTTAACTCTTTCTCTCTTCCTTTGCAAGGGAGTTCAGGTTAGGTTTGGTTAGATTAAGTTAGGTTCAGGTTAGGTTAGGTTCAGGTGTTACCAAATAGCGTTTCGGCAGATGGCCCCGGGAAGTGCGCGAGCCAGTCAGTCAGTAGATTATGTCAACAGAGTTAGTGAACCTTGTGTGTACACATCGCCCCAGGCTCCTGCAGGCTGCCTCAACCTTGGGGAGAGCACGTACAAACTGGGGAGGGGAGAGGGAAAAGGCGAGAGAGTGAGTCATGGAGGGGTGGGAGGGTGAAGGAAAGTGGTGTGGGAGCAGAGTGATGGGGAGAGGAGGATGAAGGAAGGAGGGGGGGAGACAGGCGACTATAATGGGGAGGGAAGGAAAGGTGGGAAGGTGAAGGAGGAGAGAAGCGGGGAGAGGAGGAGGTAGGAAGGAGGTAGGAAGAGGAAAAGGGGGAGGTGGAAAGAGGAGGAAGAGAGGCGAGAAGGTCAAGATGGTGGGTAGTGGGGAGAGAAGGGGAGTTGAACAAAAAGGGGAGGGGAGCATTGAGGACATGAAAAGAAAGGAGGAACGGAGAGAGAGGGAGAAAGAGGTGGCAGGAAAAATCAGGGAAAATGGATAAGAATGGAGAGAAAAACGAAACAGAGGGGTGGTAGTGAGAGGCAAGGGGAGAGACAACTCTCTCTCTCTCTCTCTCTCTCTCTCCTTCTCCCTTTCTGTCTCTTTCTGTCTGTGTGTATTTCTATATCTGTCTGTCTGTCTTTCTGTCTGTCTGTCTGTCTGTCATTTCCTGTTGCCTTAAGTTTCCTTCACACTAACCCTTTAAGTTCAGTAAGCCACAACTATGAATACCAATCCTGACTGAGTGACTGAATGGGTGACTGACTGAGTGACTGACAGAATGATTGGATGGAAGGCTGAGTGGCTGACTGGATGGCTGACTGAGTGATTGACTGGGTGACTGAATGAGTGATTGAATGGATGACTGACTGGATAACTGACTGAGTGATTGATTGGGTGGCTGATTGAAAGACTGGGTGACTGACTGACTTGACTGAAGGGGGATACGGAAGGAGAGACAGGAAGCAGACATAACGCTAACGCCGCACCCAGTAACCCGGAAATGCGGCCCGGAAACATCCCTCTTCTCTTACTACACCAAAGGAGCGTCCCGGGGGAGGGTGAACCTACTGCAGGAGGCGAAGAAACTGACTGGGAAAAACTGCCAATGTACAGTTACTAAAAAAAAAAAAAAAAGCTATACAAATTTATGTTGAGCAAAATATGACACAACGGACGAAGGATTTTGACAACCCTACCGAGACAACAGGAGTGGCAGTGTTTATTCTGAAAGTCATCGATTACCCTCAAGTACAAATAGCTTTTATGAGTTACTATACACACAAAACAAGATAATATACAGATATCATTGTTAATATACCGATAAGAATGTCACTATAGGGATAAAATTAACAGTGAATAGAAAAAAAAGCAACGAAGAGGAACAGAAAAAGATGATTATTTCGTTAAATATTTCTGAGGAGAGAAAGAGCTGTGGAACATGGCAGCTTCTCTTACACGTCCCGACCAAAGTGTCTTTTATATATATATACTGTGGAGACAATAGTAGTGACTTGACGCAGTGTGTTGAGTGTTGCCTCTAGTGGTGGTAGAGAGAGTAGGGAGAGGGAGAGGGAGGGAGAGGGGGAGGGTGAAAGGGAGGGAGAGTGAGAGGGAGGGAGGGAGAGAGGGAGAGAGGATACAGGGGTCATATGTGTCATTCGGCACTATTGTGGTGTGGTGTGGTGTGGTGTGGTGTGGTGTGGTGTGGTCCTCAGTAAGTAACACACTCCTCAGTCCTCACCTATTTCCTCCTTTCTCTAATTCCCCCCTTTTACTTCCCTTCTCTTCCCTCTCCTCTTCTTCGTCACGCCCCTCTCTTTTCCCCTCCCTCTCACCTCCCCTCTATCACGCTATCCCACACTTCTTCCGTTCCCTCTCCCCTCATTCTCTTTAGTCACCTCCGTTTTTCCCCCAAGAAGTCCTTCATTTTCTTTCTCCCCTCTCCCTTACTCCCCTCTCTAGCCACTCACATTCACTCCCCTTAATTCTCCCCTCCCTCTTTCTCTCTCATCACCTCCCGTTTTTCCAGTTTCCTCTCCCTCTCAATTCTTTTTCCACCCCTCTCACCCATCCCCCCCACCCCCCCCACCCCCTCTCCTATCCCCCTCCCGACCCTCAGGAACCCCAAGGTCCCATTCATCACCTCACCATTACCTGACCACTGAGGTGTTACTGTAATAGTGGTAGGTGAGTGGGTGGGGGAGTGGTGGGGGAGTGAGTGTGATGGAGAATAGTGGTGGAAGTGGGGTGGGTGGGGGGTGGGTGGGGGTGGGTGGTGAGTGGTGGGTGGTGGGTGGGGGTGGGTGGTAGTGGTGGAGTGTGGTGGGTGGGTGGGGTGGGTAGTGGTTGGTGGTGGTGGTGGGTGGTGGGTGGGGTGGGTGGTGGGTGGTGTGGTGGGTTGGGGTGGGTGGGGTGGGTGGTGGTGGGTGGTGGTGGGTGGGGTGGGTGGGGTGGGTGGTGGTGGGTTGGTGGTGGGGGTTGGGTGAAGTTGGGTGGTGGTGGGTGCAGGGGTGGGTGGGGAATTGGGTGAGTGGTGGGTGGTGATGGGTGGGGGTGGAGTGGGGGTGGGTGGTGATGAGGTAAGGTTAGGTTAGGTTAGGTTGTATTAGATGAAATTAGGAGAGATTAGGTGAGTTTAGATAAGATATAGTTAAGGTGCTGTAAGTAAGGTCAATCTAAGCGAGGGTAAATAAAGTCAAATTGGGTTGTTAGGCTTCGATTCCTACTGCAGGGGCCAGCGAGAGGCACTGTGGCCCCGATACTGGCACTCTGTCACCTTGATGACCTCACTACTGGCCCCCTCTGTGTGTGTGTGTGTGTGTGTGTGTGTGTGTGTGTGTGTGTGTGCTCTAAATGAAACATAACATGATCCAAATAGCGAAGTGATTTATCTGTTCATTCAAGCTGACCTAATCCATCCCATCATCCACCCTAAGCTGGCCTGGGCCACACAACTCTCTCCCTAATCCCCAGAAAGTATCTCTCCGCTTTCTCAGATCTCTCTCTCTCTCTCTCTCTCTCTCTCTCTCTCTCTCTCCGAACCATCATCAAGTCTTCCATTACTCCTCCTTCGTCACAGCTGCAACCCGAAACTTTGTCTTGCCTCCTCAATCAAAGAAAATTCCCTCCTTCCTCCCCTTCACCCACCCCTCCCCACTCCATTACCTTCTGTTCCACCCCTCCTCCCCCACCCACCCCCCTTCACCTCAACTCCTCAGATAGTTCCCCCCTTTTCAAAAACCTTTTCTCTTCCGAAGATTGAATTTCTGAGGTTTCCATTTAAAGTGAGTGAATGAGTTAGACGAACGTGAGAGAGAAGAGAGATAATCTTCTCTCTCCAGCTCTCCTTAGCCGCCTCCTTCCTGTATCATATACTCCTCCACCCTCTCCCTTTTGTAACCTCCTCAGGCCCTCACCCCGCTCGCCCCTTGCTGCAGTTACCCCCCCCTCTCTCCCTCCTCCTTTTGATGTCAACTTCTCAGCGCCCCGTTCTCCTTCCCTTTGAATTCCACTGCACCCGCCTCCCTCCCTCCTTCTCTCCCTCCCCTCTGCCCAATGCTTCCCTTTCTCCCCAGACACAGCTCCTCTTCTCCTCTCGACACAAATATCTCCCACCCCTCCTCCCTACTCCTGATATAGCTCCTATCCTCCTCCCGAGACTAAAATCTCCCTCAACCCACATCCCCCCAACCACACCATCTCTCCCTCCCACCCCCACCATCCCCTCCCCACCCCCACCATCACCTCCCCTCGCCCCCTCCTTCAGGTACCCACCAGTAGTGTTGTCGTCCTCGTCGTCGGTAAAGTCAGAGGTCTGGCCCACTACAGGCAGGACTTGCACCGTTGTCATGGCTGCGTCCGGACTCACGCCGTCCGTCATAGCGTACTGCAGCGGCCCGTCGTAACCTGTAACAACCACCAGAAGTAGTTAGTCTCACCTGTTAATGACGTAAACATCACTACTACCATAACAAGGTAGGCGAGCGTTCTAAGGTAGTCTTTATTATCAGCAATCTCAAATAAATTAATAAAGTAAACAGGAAAATAAATAAACAAATAAATAAATATATAATTAAATAAATATAACAACCATCTATTAAAGAAAATTATATTGGTCCTTGGTATTGGTCAATTAAAACCAATTAACTATTATTATCACAAAAATTATTTATACATCATCACAAACAACTAACCTAACCTAACACACACCTGTATCAACACTAATTACCACAACTACAGGAGCTCCATAAAAGATACTAACATTATCATCACATCTATATAGGTTGAGTAGTGTCTCTCCACGTGGATGTGTTCATCTAAAATCGAACACTCAATATTTCCCCGATCGTCCTCACTACAACACGGGTTTAAGCTATTGTGGTTATTCTCACACAGTCTCTCCACCCAGTAACACCGAGAGGAACATTCAGTCACAATAACAACCATTAAGTAACGTAACAAGGGCCTCCCATCAGAAGTCTCCGTCCTCAACACACCGACATATCACATTACCATCACAATACTGGCAGTTAGCGGGAGGAAACACAGTCCTTCACGCACCTTCATTATCACAATGACTCATGTCTCGGTAATGACAACTAGAAATGGTAGCCAGGGAAGGAGGAAGGGGGGAGGGGGGATGGGGGAGGGGGAGGGAGGATATCACTGCCTCCTGCCTCTCATGTGTATTTAAATGTATCTATTAAACTGTATGTATGTATGTATGTATGTATGTATGTATGGCAATGTGTGTATGTATGTATGTTTATTCACTTTTTGATCACGATTATTCCTCTTTGCTTACTTCAATTATTAGCTTTGTGTTCAACTGTCGTCTTTATGTTCATTCTAGAAGTTCTCGTATGTAGATAGTTCAGCCACCCAACCACGTGATGCCTCTACACACAACGGACCCCCCCTACTGGCATTTACACAACACATGGACCCCCTACACCTTTACATGGACCCCCTACACAACACATGGACCCCCCTACTGCCCTGGACCCCCTATACCTACACAGCATCATGTCATTTTCGAGTGGTACCTTAAGTGAACCATTTGAAAACATTCTCACATTACCACCTGGAGGAGAAACAGGAATCCATGGAGGTGGTGGTGCTAGTGAGGTGAGTCGAGGATGGCCTGGGCAGGGTGGGAGGCAGGCAGAGGCTTGGGAACGGGAGCGGGGCAGGAGGCAGGCAGGACGCAGAAGACACAGCCTTGCTCCCAGACTGACACTGTCCAAGGAAAGATGAGCAAACGTTTACCTGAAGGTGTGCTGCTTCTCCAAGTGTCAATCCTTCCCACAGCAATCACGGGAACACATCACCTCTGGCACTTGATGATGATGACGATGATGATGATGACGATGATGACGATGATGATGACGATGATGATGATGATGATGTGAGTAAAGAGGGTAAGTTGAGTCAGTCATAACACACTGGGAGATTATTCCATTGGTTGAGTATTTGGTGAGTAAACATGATATTGGATCATTCACAACACTGGCAACTATGTGTGTGTGTGTGTGTGTGTGTGTGTGTGTGTGTGTGTGTGTGTGTGTGTGGTGTATATATTAAGTCTTTTGTGTGGGGGGGGTGTAGAGCCAGGCAGATATACAGCACAATACACCACAGCAGATCTACACACACACAAAGGGTCTTAAGAGTAGATAGAATAGGTTAGGTTATGGTTAGGTTAGGTTAGGTTAGGTTTAATCCTATACAAAAACTCGTGCCACCCCTTTGAGGATTCCGTGAAGGTAATCCATTGGTCTCCCCGGCATTAGATGAAATTGGAATCTATATTTTTGTGTTGAATGTAATTAAGTGTGAAGAAGAAAAACGATTAAGAGTTTTATGTGTGAGGTGACGTAGTACTCTGGCCTTTATCATGTCCCTACAACACCCCACCCTCCCTCCAACACCCACCCTCCCTACAACACCCCACCCATCCACCCCTCGTACACTGCAGGAACCAACGACCTTCAGCTCTGGACACTTCAGGAGATTCACTGATGAGATGGTTGACAAATATAGTTCCCCCGAGACACAGATAAAAAGAAAAAAATACATCATTAATTCCTATATTATACTTCAGGTACCAGTCTTATTCATCACACACACACACACACACACACACACACACACACACACACACACACACACACACACACACACACACACACACACACAAAATCCAGGCTTGGATTTTGAGAATGGATCTTTGATATAAATTCTTCCTCTTCTCTCAATGAGGGAAAAAAAAATAAATAATAAAAAAGTGAAATTAGAGTCATTAATTTCATCTCCCGGTATAGTAACTTCGTCTCTGAGAATCTATGTAAAATATCTTCAATAAGTTACCCCCAAAATACAGGTGTTCACTACTACAGGAGCTACAGGCACTAAGATCACTATACAGAGTAGGTCTCTGGACGCTTCATCACAAACACCAAAAAACAGGATGAATATTATGGTGGTGTGTTATGGTGTCGCATTATGGTGCTGTGTTATAGTGCTTACCTATAACTCCACTAATTAAAGGAGGTAGTCTCGTCACACCTGAAATCAATTAGCGTTTTCCATATCACAAAACTCTTACGATAATTCATGATAAATATTCTACTTCCCTCAGTAACAACTTATTTAGTAACCAAAACACTCCCGACCTCATAGAAACAAATTTACCCTAAACTACCAGGCAGAGGCGATAGAGGGGGTAGGGAGGGGGTAGAGAGGAGGGGGGTGAGGGGATGGGGTGAGGGAGGGGGGGTGAGGAGGGGGTAGGGGAGGGGGTGGGGAGGGTAGGGGGGGTGGGGGGGAGTGAGGGGAGGGGGGTAGGGGAGGAGGGTAGGGGAGGGGGGTAGGGGAGGGGGTAGAGGGGTGTAGTGGGGGGGAGGTAGGTGAGACTGCCAGCTTGAAAGAGTGTTAAGTAAAATGCCTAACTTCATGTATATCTTAAGACCAAGTTCTCGGGTGACATTTGCATTTAAATTGACATGAACTTGATGAGGCAGTTCACGGTAGCCAGACATGACAGTGTATGGTGAATTGGCTGACGACAACAACAACAACACCAATAGCAACAACAACAATAACAACAACAACAACAAAAATAACAACAACAACAACAACAACAACAAGAATATTAACATGATTACTGATTTATTTTCCTTAAATATCTGGTAATATTTAACATAATTTTGTTATGTGTTAATTAACCAACTTAACTACAGCGTTTCTTGCATGGTATATGTTGCGACTGAGAGATTCAATTATACTCTAACTCCAGGAATGTTATATTGACCTTTGACCTGTAAGGATTGTTAGGGTCAATAGAGACGAGAACCATGTACTACAGTGTCCTTCTTCCTTATATAAAACTACAGACAAATTTACATATATTAAGTAGCTAGATCGACAATGTTTTTCTTTCGGGTAAGAGGTTATAATCAAAGTCTCTCTGTGTGTGTATAGGTGTGTGTGTGTGTGGCCTGCAGACATAAAACAGGGCAGGCAGAAGTCCTCAGAAGTCAAGCATCATAGAAACCAAGAGAGCCTTTAGGTAGTGGGACGAAATCCATTTATTATATGAGAGGACAACGTTAAGAACATCCAGGGTGACCCTTTCCACACACACACACACACACACACACACACACACACACACACACACACACACACACACACACACACACACACACACACACACACACACACACACACACACGAATCTGGCGGCTATGCAATTCTCTACTGTTTAAAAATCTTTTTTGCTACAACTCATGACAAAAGAAACCTTTGATTTTTTTTCACTTTGAAGACAGACATTCAGAGGACACAAACATCCCCCACTCCACCTTTACCTGCGGCTACTGTTCTGGTGTCAACTCAGTCATCTAGCAGGAGAGTAGGACGTGAGGGGAGAAGGAAGGAGGGAAGGGGGAGGAAGGGTAAGGGAGGTGACAGGGGAAGGAGGGAAAGGAAAAGAAGGGGGAGGATTTACACTGCATTTCTCTCTCATAGACACAGTTACTGATTCGCTGTGGTTCACTGGCTTAGGAATCCATGATACAGCGAACTGAGGAGACAATGAAATTCCGTGTGTGTGTGTGTGTGAGAGAGAGAGAGAGAGAGAGAGAGAGAGAGAGAGAGAGAGAGAGAGAGAGAGAGAGAGAGAGAGAGATATGAGTAAGCGAGCGCGTAGTGTGAAGGGCATACACCTCAATCACCCATCCCCACACACACACACACACACACACACACACACACACACACACACACACACACACCACTCCCTCCCCTTTCCACCCATAACATATCCACAACAACTTTCCTCCACCACAACCCTCTCCACCACCCTCCACAACCACTTCCTCCACCACAACTCCACTCCACCACCTAATAACCACTCTTTCTCCACCACAACCTCTCCACCACCCTCCACAACCACTTCCTCCACCACAACTCCTCTCCACCACCTCCACAACCACTCTCCCTCCACCAACAACCCTCTCCACCACCCCCTCCACAACCACTCTCCCTCCACCACAACCCTCTCTCCACCACCCCCTCCACAACCACTTTCCTCCACCACAACTCCACTCCACCACCTCCACAACCACTTCTCCTCCACCACAACTCCTCTCTCCACCACCTCCACAACCACACTCTCTCCACCACAACCTCCACCACCTCCACAACCACTTCTCTCCACCACAACTCCTCTCCACCACCTCCACAAATCCACTCTTCCTCCACCACAACTCCACTCCACCACCTCCACAACCACTCTTTCCCTCCACTCACAACTCCTCTCTCCACCACCTCCACAACCACTTTCCTCCACTCACAACTCCCTCTCCACCACCTCCACAACCACTTCTCCACTCACAACTCCT